GTGTCCCACTCTGAACTCACCCTCTCATGGGTCCTTAGTCTGCTCTAATCCCCACAGAGAGTACAGTTTTGCTTCTGTGTGCACATCAACATGTGCAGAAGGTTTTGTGCTAAATGGTACAGCTATCACAGAGTGCACCTCCATGGGCATGTGGAACAGAGCTGTTCCCCATTGCTTAGGTAAAAACACTCTTTGTATCAATATCCAGTGTATCAGAAACAGACCGATAAACTCCTTTTTCCATAATTTAAATTGCACAGCTACACTTTTTTCTTAAAAAAGCTAATAATCTGCTCTGTTCCTCTCTATGTGCTGTGAGTTTTTTTCCTTTATAGCTGAAAGGTGTCCTATTCTCACTCCTCCTTCTCATGGGACTTTAGACTGCTCTCATTCTCATGGCGAGTTCAGTTTTGGCTCTAGGTGCACATCAACCTGTGAGGACGGCTTTCTGCTAACTGGGATTCCTGACACTGAATGCACCTCTGCGGGCACATGGAGCACAGAAATACCAGGCTGTCAGGGTAATAAACCAAAACACGATACGGTTGCCATCCACATAAAGTCCTTCTTAATCTGTGTCCATACATTAAATAGTTCCAAACTCTACACCACCCGGAAAGTCAAAAGTGAAGCTGTACTGAGCCTATACTGTTTTTATGTTATCCACAGCACGCCAATGCCCCCTGCTGGCCAAATCACCACAGCATGGGAGGATGAACTGTAGCCATCTGAACTCTCCTTTCAGTTATGGCTCACAGTGTGACTTTAAATGTAATAAAGGTTTCTGGCTGAAAGGAAGATCTTCTATGATGTGCAACACCTCCGGCCACTGGAATCAGGATCCACCCACCTGTCGACGTAAGTGCATAGCAATACTTTGAATGTTATTACATATTCATTGATCTTATGTAATTGTAGTTGCTGTCCTTTTTAGCTGTGCAGTGTAAGGCCATCCGTGCCTTCTCCTCAGACCTGTCTATGAATTGCTCTCATCCTCTGGGGAATTTCAGCTTTAGCTCTGAATGCGTTTTCAGCTGTAAAGATGGATTCACCCTCAATGGCACAGCAGTGATGCTTTGCTCTGCCACTGGGATCTGGAATGACAGCCTGCCCAGCTGCACAGGTAAATTATTCTCTGTAGTTTAAAATGTTATTTCCCCCGTAATTTATAAATGACACCATTTTCTAAGATAGGAGTCTTCTCTTGCACACTGTGTGGTGTGATACAGGCAAAACCCAAACTAATATCAACATACACTATAAAACAATGACTTCTGCTGGCCATGAAGTATACACTGAGAACAGTTCCCTAAAGCTTCATTAAAATCTTTATGTGATCCCACGCCAGGTATGTCGATAGGGACTGCCATGTTGCTGTACACTGGCGCAGGGGCGGGAATTGCTGTTGTGATACTTCTCCTGATAGGACTGACTGTGTTGATCATGAAACAATTTAAGAAAACAGGTGAAACTTACTGTAGTGATGCACATTTACACATACAGTGTGGTGTAGCAGGGTGAGCACACTTCTAATCCCATCTTTTCATCTTTGTAGGAAATATGATCACTTCTGATGTCCCGACATGGGGTGAAAGAGAGAATCCAGCATTTGAGTTTTGACCTCGTTCCTTTTTTGAGATGTGATTTTACTTTTTGCTTGTTAATATTATTATTATTCTAAGAAGCTTGGTAGTTACTGCATCTACTTGCTCTCGCTTAAGCAATAGCAATTCATATGACAGACTTCATCCACGATACATAAAGTATGTCTACAGCTGTTACATTAGGTCCTCCCTGAAAATTTCCAAAAGTCAATAAAATTTTAAAAAATCTCAGAAAACTGTTGTTTCATTTGCTTTTTCATTGTTTTATGTTTACTCTTCCCCGACTCATTCAGTCCCATTTTACTGCTAGCATTCTTTCAGCTATGTCCAGTATCATGTGGTACAATCTGGAATAACCCTGTCCTGTCAGGTCGTCATCAGAAATTCATATTTTACACATTTGGCATTTGAATGCTGTGGGGTCAATTGGGAATGTTCCCAGAAATCTCTAGGCTTGCCGAAATGCCGTTAACTGTCAATTTAGCACATTTGGTGACCAGAAAGCTCCCATCATAGGATATGGTGAGGAGGTGATCAACTCAGTGTCAAACTGGGCACTGATCCCACAATGACTACCCCCACCCATTACACTGATTATTGAAATGTGTGTCATATTTGTGAATATGTAAGTCCAGTGGCTGAAATGATACATTTCCATGGTATGGCTGTATCTACTGCATTAAACCTTGCTGGTCTGTGTGTGCAAACAGACTTTATTTATAATCTGCAAGCATCCTTTGGAGTACGTTCAGCAAAGCGTGTGCATCTGTCTTGGCACTGCAACAGCATGAAGCCAATTATAGCAGTTAAAAGACAGAGGGTTTGTGGCCTGTGGTTGGCATGGAGCGTGCAATAAATAACCGCACTGTTGACAGGAAACTGTTTGGCTACCATCGGAATAATAATGAGGTTATTGCTACCCGCTGTGACCGTATGATCACAGTGTGAACTTTTTTTTTGGTCTTCTCACCTGCTACGTATGCCAACTGCACACAGACAAGAAGGTAAAAGGCTCCCCCAGGTGACCACCTTGGCTTTCTTCCCCGATATTTAAGCCTTTTTCCCCCTCTTTTCATTCACCTATAGATACAAGGAATACATTATGTTATGTTAGGCCCTACAACAAAGAGTGTTGTTCCATCTAACACATGAGAATGAGCACATGCACATGCCAGCAGACGCTCAGAGCAGATACAGAAACAGATACTGAGGGACTGCGAAACACAGACGTACTGTAGGTATACTCTGCTGCTTGCTTCTTTAGCTCTGGTTGGCAGTAGTGTACTACGGTGACAGACAGTTAGATTGTTCCTGACCATTGACTTGAGCTCTCTGCTTTGCAAGGTCTGATTTCATAGTGGGAAATATGAGATGGGTCCAGGAGAGGGTTCACGGCTGGGGCAAGGAGGCACTCCATACAGTAGGGCTTCATATCTCCGTGTCACCCTGGGCATTCTCCCCTGACACAGCTTTCAGCCACTCCGTTGTCTGAAGCCCCCTCCGTGGGTTTTCGCAACCTCCCTTCCCATGATTGGTGCATTCCAGCTGGGCACAGCGCCTGGGTGGTCCCCCACCTCCCCCTCCTCCCATCCTCTTTGACTGAAGGAAGGAAAAGGCAGAAAAATGCAGCAAAGGCCTTTGACCAAGAAAAGCACAATGTGAGCGTTGATGATGGCGGCGTGGATGTGATGCTTACCTGCCACTGACCCATACGGCTGTCATAGCCCAGCATTTTACAATCTGACGATCCATTCAACAGCCAGGAGAAGATGTCTCACTGACCCGTCACCTAGATCGGACTGATAAGCACTGAGGATGGACTGACCTGCCTCTAACCCTCAGCATGAATATCCCATTTTCATATGGACAAATCACCCCGTGGTTTGTAGTAACACCATAGTGAACAATCACCGTTTCATGTTTATTATTTTCTGATTATTGTTAATTCGATCGAGATGAACAGCATACACACACATTTGGAGAATAAATACAAATACACACCCAGTCAACTATTTACATGAGTAGATGCAGTTACGCTCTCATAATCTGGCATTCAAACATAATGAGAGTTCAGTGTCATGCACGTACAGGAGACTCCGAAGAGATTTTAAAGCATAAGAGGCAGGAGTGTAATTGGGTTTGTATAGAGGTGAACATGGTATAGTATTGCATGGTATCACTGTGAGTGTACCCCTGTCCCCTTCTAACATTTTACGTCCACGTACCAAATTACCACATTTCTGAGATAAATTCAGTCTGTCTGAATCTGATAGCCACCCTCACGAGGTGAAGTACGAGTCCTGCATGGAGTAGAGGCGGTCAATAGGAGTGAGTGGCGAGGAGTCGCCAAGAGAGAGGCAGTCGCCGTCAGCCATATGACACAGCGGGTCTCTGTCCACATCGCCATACAGGCTCTTGAAACCTTAAAAAGATATAAATTATTATTTTGTATCTCAACTACTATTGGAAGTTTAAACTAATACCAGCAATATCAAAAGTACATTTTTTTACTTTTAAATTTATGTTTATTTCATGTTTGTTTTACAAAAGGCTTAAAATAAGCTGAGGATTTGACTGCGTTGAGATCTTTTACCATAAGGATGCATGTGATCCCCTGGCATCTGAGGCGGGGTCAGGCCCTGTCTGAAGGGGTCCATGTCCCAGTCCTGCTGTTCCAGTGTGGTCATTCCCATCTGCTGCTGCTGCAGTTCAATATGGACATAAGAGGACCCGAGGTGCTTCATCTCAGAGGTTACACTGCCACTGGAGGGCGCTATGAAGCACAGGAAACCAAAGGAGATCACAGAGCTGTGTGTTTATGAGTTAATGTAGTTAAAGTAACAGAGTTCTCTGTTAATGATTTTAGCCTGTTTTAACTCCAGAAACCCCTTCAAAACAATTAAAAGCTAAACTTTAGCTCTAAACTTTGGAGTCTTCTCACACCCCCGTTCTCTGCGGCCTGCTGGAGCAGGGGGGCTAGGAGGAGGAGTTGGCCGTCCGATTGGGGTCTGGAATGTGGGGCCTCCCTGCTGCTGCCGAGCCGGGGCAGTCTGCTTCTCTCCACCGCAGGGAAAAGGGTAACACTACCTGGGTTTTGGTGCAGTTCCCCGCTCCAGGGGCAAGGGTACCTAGACCCGGTTCGTAGAGTACGCTTGGGGAGTGTGATCGTGTGTACAGTGTCTCTCTATGTCTGTCTCCACGTCGGGTGAGTGTGGAGTAAGTGCATATGAGAGCATGAGGGTGGGAATGGATGTTTGTATCTGTGTGTGCCTGTATGTCTGTGTCTATATGTCAGATTGGGTATCAGACGCCACCTCTCTGGGGACATCTCCCCCCACCACTTCCTCTGCCAGTGGCAGACGCCCTCAGACATCGGTGCGTTGGTGGTTCTTTGTGTCTGGGGATGGGCGTCCGGGTACCCACCGGCTCACTCCTTGGTGGCCGCTTATCGGGGCCTGGAGCCTGGGGCTCGCTCGGGCCACTTCGGGGGTGGGGTGCCCTCGGCCTCTCGGCCTGGGGCTCGGTCACTCTGGCGCAACTGGCTGCCAGCGGAGCTCACGGGCGCGTCACTGCAACCTCCCCTGGCTTCTGCTCCGCGGCTGCTGAGTGACCCCTCATCTGGGACTCTCCTCAGCTCTTTCTGGGACAGTGGCGCAGCTGCCCCTCTGTTGGTCTTCCTTGGTCTCTTGTGTTCTGAGGGTCTCTGGATGTCTGGAGTTTTGATCTCCTCCATACCTGCTTCATGCCCTGGAGGATGGGGCTGTGGTCCCCCCACACCCTCTAGCAGATCATTACATGAAGGAACCTTTTAAATACAAGCGCGTCCATGCTCACAGGTGTACACACGGGTGCTCATACACACAAACTACACCCTTTTTGGCTCCTACCTCAAAGCACACTGTGTGCTGTTGATCTTATGTGCTGCACAATAATGTTTAATATTTAGTATTTACTGTTATATTCACATAGATCATCGCGATGTTGTTTATTATGTTGCTCTTTTTTCTTCTGCTTGTTTTCTTTTTTTTTCTTTCTCAACAGGTGATCCAGATGATTGATAGATGTATTTTTTTGTCTGCTTATATAAGCTTTATATAAATTGAATTTGAACTTTGTATAACTTAAAGGCTGAATAAAATCTTTAGTCAAGGTATTGCCCATTACCTATTAGAAACTGATAAATAAATAGAGAAAACGGTACATTTTCTTACAGCGAGAAGCAATAATGAATAATACCTGTGTGATGCGATGGGTGTTCACACTGCTCCTGAGTCTGTTGCTGCTCCTGCTGCTGTTGTCTCCTGGCCAGTTTCTTCATCTAAAAACATGCATCGAGAGACATTAAAGCTCTTTAATGCCTCAGTGCAGTCAAATCCTCAAGTCTACTGTAAAAAAACTGTCCTCCCACTCCACAGTCCATCTACCACCCAGGAGTATGCTTGTGTTCACTCAGTTGTAAAGTATCAAGAATGAAGTAGAGGGCAGCCACACATGAGCCCAAATTGTGAGGAAATATTGGGTTTAATCTACAGTGATCTCTCCATGAGATGTCATCAGTTTCCTGTATGAACAGATAACCAGGCTGATTTCCACTCTGGCTTACGAATACAGTGCAGAAAGAAGGCTTTTATTAGCAGTGCATGAGTGTGTGTGTGTGTGTGTGTGTGTGTGCGTGCGCGCGTGTGTGTACTTTGAATTACTTTGGCTCTTTGGTTCTGGAACCAGACCTGCACCACCCGGACACTCAGACCAGTCTCAGCTGCCAAGGTCTCTCTTACCTTGGATTAAGATTCAGGAGGGCAACACAAAGACAGAATGCGAGGGTAAAAAAAAAAAAGAATGAGGAGGTCATTTGAAGGATAATAAAAATCTGCGTCACATCACAAATTTAGCAAAGAGGCAGAAACTGCTTAAAGAAACACTCATGATGCTTATTTGTTTTGTGAAAATAACTGCTATGTTTTCAAAAATCTTTACTTTGGTACTTTTAAAGTCAGTTCATGAGGAATTTAGCAATGTCACTTATAACAAAACTGCCCAACTACCCACCCGCAGTACGGTGATAATAATGTACAGAAGATACATGAAACCATGTCACATATTTTTGAATGAAGTTTTCTCCTTTTTTTTGTTCATTCTGTCAAGGTGACACATGGTACAATGGCAACAATATGAGGTAAAAGGGTCTCTGGATTGTACAAGCTAGTAAAAGGCTTAGCCCTTGCACCTTGTCTTAAACAATGAATAAAATAAGTGTAAAGTTGAAACAGTGCTGTATGAAAATTTCTAACACTAGTCTATATTATGTCCTCATATGAAATAGATTCATAGTTTTAACTTGAATGCAAAGTAACAGAAGATTTTTTTTTTCTTTACCTTTCGACAAGGCTTGGAGGAGACCTCAAAGGATGCTTTAAAGGTGCGTCTTTGCTGAGTGGTCAGAATAGTGCGAGGTCTTTTGGGGCGTTTGCTCTCCACATCATCTGATTTAACTTTTCTGCCTGCAATCCTTCCAGATTCCTCCTCAACTTCTTCATCTTCATCATTACTTTTACCTAGAAGACAGGCATAGATATGATTGAAAATATTCACATAAAAACAGGAAAATTCATGCCTGCCAATGTTTAAATATTTTTTTATAAGAATTTTAGTTTTTGTTTAAAATGCAGATACTTTACATCAACTTGGCTGATGTCGAGCTGAGTTTTGGGCTTTTCTGTGTCTCCCAGGATGATTTTTATGTCCCAACTTGAACTGGTATTTTACCACTTCACTTGAATCATTATTTTGGCAATGTTTTTATTGCACTGTTACAGTTAGTTACTCAAACTAAAATGTGCTTATTTTACCCAATGCTGGACAGAGTTTGAATTCTTAAAGTGGGATTTAATCATCAAAATGGATTGTGAATTTATTACAAATCAAAGAGCAGCATGAAAGCATGCAATTTCTGTACCTGTTTCAGAAGAGCTAGGACTGGCCAGACATTGGTGGTAGCCCTCTCTGGCACATAGTAGCTGTCCCTCCCTGAGGACGCAGCGATCTCCTGTCTGCAGGCGGCAGGAACAAACGCTGCAGGTGAAACAGCGCAGGTGGAACACAGCGGCCCCCGCACGCATCACCAGCTCTGCGGGAGAGATGGCTTCTGTGCACCCTGCACAACGCACTGCAAACAGACTGAACAGTGGAGGAAAGCAAGCGCACAGAGAGAGAAAGTGTGAGAGCTGAGTAAATAACAGAGAATAGAGATTTTGTTTTCTTTAGACACTTGAGGACCCCCTCACACATCAGTAAGATGGGACCTGAGAATGTTGCTGAGTCGAGCTGTCACTCAAAACAACCGCCAGCCTGACTTCTCTCGCCTTTCCCCCCCTCCTGCCCGGACCACTCAGACACATACCCTTAGTGTGTCGGGTGTGTATCTTAGCGCCTGGCAACCAGTACTGGTGAGCTTAGCCTCAGAGACTGTTGCCGTGGCTCCGACTGCCGTGTCCGAGGCTGCGCTCCTGGGGAGGCAGGAGAAAGGCTCTCGGCAGGCCATGGCTCCAGGCAGAGGGGTGGAATCAGATCTCCTGGTGGGAGAGACTGAGCCACTGGTCCCAGGAATTATCCGTGGAATTATCCGTAAGTCTGCTTAACCAGAAGTAGACAAAGACAGAGCCAGCCCTCAAGCAGCAGGACCATTGTCCGCTGGCTGGCACCTCCGCATTTTGGGTCTGTCACGCAGGATGATGCGTCATCATTCTGGAGCTGGCGTTTGTCTCCAGACTTGACTAGGTCACCAGAGCAGTCAGCACAGAGGCATGAGAAAGTGACAGCTTTTCCCCTTTTTTGTTTCCAAATAAAAATACTCCATGTGCCTCATGAGAAAAGTCTTTTTCTTGATACTGTGAAACCATCAGAAAATAGGAGCATTGGAGGTTATTCTAACACTGTGCATGGACACATTAATAACCACAATTATTATTCTGTATGTCCTAATCACATTGAATCTATTTTATTTACTTTAATAAGTTAATTTGAATAAATTGTGTAATGTTGTTTTTATTAACTTTCTTCTTAATAGTACAAAGATACTGCAAATTTTTACACTACCTAGAAAAAAAATACACCCAAACTTAAGCAAATTAATTAATTTTTGGATATATTTCAAATTCCAAATGAGAACAATATTTCCAAACAAATAAATTTTTAAGTTGAAAATAAAACTAACAGCCATGTTGACATATCCCTGTCAAAGGCTCCGGAGCTCGTACGTCCTAAAGCCAGACATTGCTAAGACCTCTTACTGTTGCTCTGGGGTCACTATGGCGATGCTAAGAGCCCCTTCCCAGAAGCTCAGGAGGGTCGGTCTGCTTGACCCATCCGAGTTGTCTGCCCCACAGCTTCAATGGTATGTGCTTTAATATGGTCAACATACCGTCTGTGGAATGTGCATTCCTGTGGCAACACAAGATGCATCAATCAAATATTTCAAAGGAAGTGTGGCAGAGGAAATACCCTGAATGTTTCTGGGTCTCTGAGATACCGCAAAGCATTTGATTTGACATCTCAGTATGAGGCTAATGCCAGTGAAGAAGAAACTATGGGCATTAATGTTTTGAGATCATTCGTGTTTCGAGAAGCGCTTTTCCATTATACGCCTTATCCAGTTCGTCTAATTATCCCCAGTACTCTTAAGCGTCGTTAATGCAAAGGTAAGAGTACCTCCAATACTTATGGAGTGGCTCAAGGTGTTTAATATTTCAGAGTTTCCGCTGACATGATTGGCCCAGAGGCTCGGCCAGGAGAGCGGGAACACTCAGTCACGCTGGATTTAGACATGGCAATTAGTGACAAGATCATTACAGAGGAGTAAGTCAGCAAAATTTTGCACTCCTCCACACTGACATGGTCTGGGTGAGGCACTCCTAATGCGGAAGCACTGTATAAAAAGATGAGTGTTTAGCAGAAATGTACACAGACAAACTCACAGTTTTCCTCAAGCCCTCCTCTTTCATTGTTCTTGCTCTGACTTCAGTGCTGACCTTTGGCAGTCAGGCAAACAGACTGCTGGTCTAGTGGACAAGCAGAGAGACAGATCTTGTTTCTGGATCAGGTTAACTTGGATCCATTGCTGAACGCACACACCAGCGGGAGCTATGTATCAGATACAGATCGTCAGGTCAAGTGCACAGCGAGTCACACCGAAGATCTGACGACCAATCTGCTGTCCGGTCCACCTGCCCGCTGAACCGTTTAGTTAACCTAAACCAAGCTGAAGACACGCTGTCAGACAGGATTCTGCATTCGGCTTCAGAAAACTGGAGTCACTACAGGTCAGACAGCCAATGTATAAACTATGGAATAAAACAAGCATTATTAAAAACAACTGCATTCAGTCGTCTAAACGAATCAGATTATTGTAAATTAATGATTACAGTTAGAAAAGCTTCAGCGGCTTCTCTAAAATGTGGGGAAATGACTGCAAGCTAATACAACACATACTGCCGATGACTTTATAATTAACGCTTAAATACTGTGTTTTTTCAATGCAACCCTCGGGTTGGATAAGAGGAAGAAAAACAGATGGATCCCCCCCCCACGCTTGAGGTGCAAAAACCCCTCTGCTCAGCTGGTCTTTATAAAAAATTTAATTCAAAGTGTTTTGATATAATCAAAAATTAAATCAAAGAGGAAAAAAGGACTATCAGAAAGTATTATGATATGAATTTATTTTATTTTTTTGGTTGTGATTACTTGAGTTTAAATATGCTTAAGTTAGTCTTGTCTGCCACAGTAACTGGGACAGACAATGAAAATCAGTAAATTTCTGTTAAAACAAAAATGTTTTTATGCATCTTGTTTGTTATATCACACATTAGATCATCCAAAAAGAGATAAACTACTTTAATTATGTTTTTCAATAAGTTTTGATAAGTTAATTTTTTAATTTTCAACCCTTTTTTAATGTTATTATTCCTTTGTGGCACATATATTATATCCTCATGTTCCTATTTGTTATTAAAAAGAAACATATTAGATGCATAAATATATATAAAATTGAAATCTGTACGGTCCTCTGGTACTGGCAAATATTAGCATTATTGTCTTATAAACCACATGAATGGGCCAGGCTTCATGGTATGGCCGGCACTGATGAAACAAAGGTAAAAACAAAGCAAGATTCAGTCAGACGATGCAGCATGTGGTAAAAGACAAATGTTGTCACAGTATGGAATAATCACACTTGTTTTGCATCAGCCAAACGGGGGAGCAGGACATAGTTTGTTGGTGAGAAGAAAAAAAAACTGGCACAGTTTTAAAACCCTCATTGTGGTCAAAAGTAGTGCTCATGTGTTATTGGGTGTCGTAACTCCAGACAGGACAGCAGGGGTGGAAGGATGACGGGTGGACTCAGAGGTGGAGCTTTGGCACCAGGCCTCCTGCTAATTGATCAGGTCAGATAACTCACGGTCGGCTGGGCGTTGTCCCATTGCTCAACACAGGGGCTGCTGTGTGAAGAGCTTTCCAGATGCCACGGCGCATAACGCCAGGGCTCATGGAGCGCACTGTCCCCCAAAATAAGTTCACACCATCCTCACCGTCCCTCTTGTAGGGATGCACCAGACCTTCTGACATATGGCTGTGCACTCCTAATTACCTCTCAGTACAAGTCTTTACTACGTGTTTTCGCCAAGTGTTATTATCTCCACTGAAGACACTAAGTACATTAATTTGTTTTGTTTTGTTTTACAGAAATTAAATCTACATATTTTTCTAAAACACTCCGTCTCCTTTAAAGGTATATGTCTCCAACATGAGTGTGTTGAAACATTTCCTTGCTTCCCTGTGTGCTTGGCAGAACAGCCATTACCAAATTGTTCAAAAATAATGTGAGTTGTTGCCTTTTAGGGTGTGCAGAGTGTATTTGGAAGCTGAGGGGGGATGAGCTGGTGAATGAGGTAGGAGGGCATGAGCAGTAGGTGATTTTTTTTTTTTTTTAATTTATTTATTTTTTGTGTGTGTGGATGGGTGGGGGACCATATGTTGTCCCCAGCTTGCAGTTGCCACGTCAGTGGGCCTCAAAATTTTAACACATTTTGACAATGTGTCAGTTGAGCCTTACCCCTGGTTGTGCATGAAGGTGTGACCACATTATTGTGTGTGTGCATGTGCATGTACGGACAAACGCAACACAATACAATAGTTTTCTTACATTCCAGCTCCCTTGCCACCCCTTCCTCCTACAGTCACCTTGTTCTCTCAGTGCACTGTGCCAAGTTTACTGGAAGTCATATTACGGCATGTATACACATTTAAACACAACTGCACACAAAATGCATCCATGTCTACCCAATACAACACTAAGAAGGATTAGAAATATTTATGTTGGCCTTATGAGAAAGTTATTTTCTTTATCTCTCAGACACACACACACACACACACACACACACACACACACTCTTTCTTAGTCAAGGTCAAGTCTGGACAAAGCTGTACTGTTGCAAAAATGACCTTAATGATACACCATCAGGTTTGGCCCTCAGAATAAAATGATCAAAACTGAAGTCAAATAACATAGTTGTTTTTTTAATGGCAGAAAAGGTCATATATATTTTTCTATATCATGATTATATTTTTGCAGGAGGCTGCATAAAACGACTACTACCTTATTTAGAACTTTATTAGTTTAGTGTTGTGTTAAAACACTTATTCAAACATTTTAATGGTTAGAGTCGTTTAATATATTTTTTTCTTCTTTTTTTTTTTACTGTATGAGAAATATTAGGTAGTTTTTTCTTAACATGCCTGCGTGTGTTGCATTATATGTGCCCAAGTTGCAAATTTTATTTTGTCACGTCTTGGTTAAAGTTGAAATTGGTGATTTCCCGTGAAAAAGGAACTACTACTTACGCCACCTATGAACCAAACAGTTATAAATAATAACTCACTCAGCATAGTCCCGTTTGCAGTAAAGTTTGCGGTCCCGCAGAAAGCAGGAGTTCGTGAGCGCGTCCCCGCACGCTGCGCACCGCACGCAGTCCTCATGCCAGAGGCCGTCAGTGACTCTGAGCAGGAATCTGTCTCTGATCAACCGATGGCATCCGGCACACACTGCCCTCCGATTCACATCTGCAATGCACGGAAATCCTTTAATTGGTAAATATTTTGGTTCAGCGAGAAGGATAAAACTGAAGAAATGAAAACTGGCAAATTTTGTTGTTTGCGTAACCAAGTGGCTGAACTAGACGAAGGTTGGCAAATTAACCAAACTTTTCCACTTTTATAATCAGAGGAAATGTGTGCGTGTTTTATAAGAGCGATATACATTTGAACAATTATTTTAAAGTTAGCACTTTTTTAAAATTTCAAATTGTTAAATTCTAGCAACTGAGTAATTCTGTTGAGCTGATAAAAAAAACAAATGAAGTTGCTTAAAATAAACGAATCTAATCTCAATATATTGATAAAATACATGTTTACTTACCTAAGGATGTATCCGGTATATCCACCATTGCTGTTCCCTGAAGAAGCTGCGAAATATATTTTCACCAAGGTTTAATTTAAGGGAAACATTTTTCTAAGATTTTTTTCTTAGAGTTTTCTAAGAAGAGTGGCATACCTGTAAAATGCGAGTTTCCGGTCAGCAGCGAAGGATTTTGGTTATGAACTCCCAGTCCTGCTCAGAGCATCTCCGCCACTCAAAGTTCCCCTGCAACTTGCTCCTCGGAGCAGAGAGCAGCGCATCAAAGTTTCTGCTTAGTGCTTCCAGCGACCTCGCTGAGTCCACAGTTATTGACTATTTGGGCTGTCTATCAATTATCCTATTAGGGGTGAACGGGAAAGAGAGTGAGAGAGAGCGAGTGCGAAACAGAGTAAGACTTCCTCCATGTGCAGGTGCCCTCTCTCTCTCTCTCTCTCTCTTTCTCTGCCAGGCACTCTCTCTCCTCCCTCGGTCACTCGCTCTCTCCCCCACGCTTGTGTGTCTCTCTCGCCAAGCCTCAATGCCAGTAGTATTCAAATTGTGATTTGATAACACAGTAAACTGCAGGTTAAAAGGTCACACACTTAAGTGATGATTCCCCCCCCCCCCCAAAGCTTTAAATGATCAGTTTGGTTTTTCTGCAAATTAGTGGCTTCACAAAGTTTCACTTTAGCCCAGTTTTGGCAGTAAATGGGATCATAGAGGTTCCAATGATTTTTGCAAAATAACAACATCTATTTTTCCTATTGAAACATGTCAGCAAGATATGGCTGTATGCTATTTTATATTCTAGCTCCAGTTGCAACTATTGCGGACAACTGCAAACCCGTGCGGATTTTGTTATATCAGCCAACATACTGACTCATTCCAGTATAAGCACATATTCCAGTATAGGCACATATTCCGACGTAGATTTATTTTCTTTTTTGTTCTCTGTAGATTCCTATTTCTTCGTGGATTATCTTCACCAAGAAGTCTTAATGAAATCAAAGGTCTTTGTGATGAGGTCCCGGCAGTTCGTGATGCTGAAGCCTGCAGAGGCCCCGACGAGTCATGTAACTCTGACAGACCGTAGCCACGAGGAGGATACAGGAATCCGCGCAAACAGCTCTAAAATATGCTGTGAAGCAGTGTCTCTCGTCTTGATGGCACTCTGTGGACGCCATCTGGTGGACGAGGAGTGAAAATAGCAGGTTCACTTTGTATTTCATACCAAACACAGCTAATAAAAGAAAATGTGATAAGGCATTAACACAATGCACAAAATATTTCATGTACATTTTTAAATAACTTTATTCTGTAAGAATTCTCAGACACGTTTAAGAAATGCAGGGATGGTTTTTGTTTTATACAATTCTGCTTTGAATAAAATATGATTTTTTTTTTTCAAATTTTGCATTTGGTGGCTTTTGAAACAAACACCTGAAATTAGCTATTTACAAAATTCCAAACCAACTTTATTGGAATTTATCGTGTTCTGACTCCACCATCCCCACAACCACATTTTTTTTAAACATTTTAATTGCATTTTTTTTTTAAATGGGTACAAAATAAGCTGTTTTACATTTCAATCAAGTCTTTTTAATTCCATCATCATATTGCTTATGATGCGGGAGTATGTACAAGGGAAAGGGGAAGACGTGTGTCATGTGATCTGATGCGGAGCCTCCAGCATCTCCATCAAAAAGGTGTCAATAGGCGTGTCCCCAATTAGCTTGAAGAAGAACAGATGCTCCAAACATTTGAGGCCGATGGAGCGCAGGGCAGGCAGGCGCAGCAGCAGTTTGGCAAACCTGAGAATAATAAAAAGTCGTGCCAAATAGTGAGGCGTGAACAACTGAGCTTAAAACTCACTTCCACACATGTTCAAAGTTGTTTAAAAAAAAAAAAAAGGCATATTTTACACACACTCACTAGCCACTTTGTTTGATACACCTGTTCACCTGCTTTGTAATGCAAATATCTAATCAGCCAATCACATGGCAGCAACTCTGCATTTAGGCATGTAGACATGATCAAGATGACCTGCTGAAGTTCAGGACGAAAGGTGACAATCATCTCTACGGTTTGCAGAGAATAGTCCAAAAAAGAAAATACATCCATGGGAGCATCTCTGAATGCACAACATATTAAACTTTAAAGCAGATGACCTACAGCAGCAACAAGACCACATTGGGTCACCTGCTAAAGGACAGAGCGCCACCTAAATTGAACCACAGAGGAATGGACAAACAATGTCTCATTTGATAAGTCACAATTTTTACTGTGACATTAGAATAATAAGGTCAGAATTTGGTGCAAACACCATGAAAACATGGATGCATTCTGCCCTGTATACAATTCAGGCTGCTGTTGGTGGTAGTGTGTGTGTGTGGGAGATATTTTCTTGGCACATTTTGGGCTCCAACTGAGCATCGCTTTAAACATCACTGCTTATCTGAACATTGGTGCTGACTATATCATTATTGATCACAGTGTTCCCATTTTCCGATAGCTTTTTCCAGCAGGATAAAACACCACAGTCACCGGATCTCAATCCAATAGAGCACCTTTGGGATGCGGTGGAAAGTGAGAATCCCATCATAGACATGCAGCGATCATATCGATATGGCCCAAAAGGACTAGCAAGATGTTCCTAATAAAGAATATAGTGAGTGCATATCAAGATTTTTTTTTTTAATATTGTAAACATCTCACTTTTCATGAGACAACATACCGTACACAGTAAGCCATTTCAAAGAAAGTCAAGCTAGTGTTACATTTACCTTTCAAAAATCAATTCTTTGCTCAGAGATTTATGATTTAGATTAATGAAAACAAACAAGAAAAAGTATTACATGTTGCAGTGGTGATCTTTTTCACTGCCGGGCTGTGGCATGCTAGTTTCCCTTCAATCATGTGCACTTTATGTCATAATTTCACCATTAAAAGTTTTTTTCAGTGAGGTGAAATATTCATGGGGTAATAATAATAATAATAACTGTGATCTCAATAGTGACCAAAATATTCTTAAGCGTTCTTTCTGCATCTCAGCTGTGATGTGTTGACTTTTCAGGAAGTTTGCAGTGTGTGCTTTTACCTCTAATACCTGTTGCTCTCAATCAGCTCCCAAATAAAAAATACAGTCAATGGCAACAATTTGCAGTTACAAATAGCGTTATCAGCCTACATCCTTTTAAATGCAATGTTGTGGTTAGGCAAAAGTGTTTTACTTGCATAAGAGCTGTGTACTAATATAATGCAAGCTGCCATCCTTATTATTCTTTACATCCAGTGCAGCAATGTGTTTAAAAATGATCGATGTTGTAATGGAACAGTTCCTACCTGCCAGGCTGGTCCGGGTACTTCTGTTTTGTATACGACTCCAATGAAGCATAGACCTTTTCTCTCAGCCCTTCAACCTCTGCTGGGTTAGACAAACCTTTTGCATCTGGAAAAAAAGACCCAAAACAAAACACACAAGTCATTCTGCTAGTTTGTGATTGAATGGAGTCAATTTTCTGCAGTCTGTTTGTGATAACATGGCTGTTAACTGTGAGCAACAATCATAAATCTGTTGCTGTCTAACAACACAGAAATTCAGTGTATTCCATTTGAAGCTGTAAGTCTGAATTTCAGCGTTCTCAACTTTCAATCTGTGAAAATACTGTTGTACATATTTGATTCACTAAATAAGCCATATGCAGAACACCGTGCAGGCTCGAACCATAAATGTGTTGCTGTTGTGTTTTTCAGTTAAAAAACAACAACAAACCCAAACAAGCATCACCTTGTATCCCCATCGTGGTATGAATGGCTCTACTTGCTAAGGAACAAAATAAATCCTGTTTTTCTGACTTCACTACTGGAACACACTCAACTTGGGAGTGATGTCACTCCCAGCCCTGCTTCCAAGGGAAACTGAATGCATCATTACATTTAGAGTCCAGCCAGAACCTCATAAATTTTAAACAGAGATTCAGAAATTCCTCCACAAATAACGACCTAATTGCTGCAGGATGGTTAATTGACTGATTTATATGACACAGGTGCTCAGCAAAGCTGTTTTCTTCTACCAAGACACCTGTGCAATTGAAAATGGTTGCTGCAACTACTTACAATCAGCAAAAAGAATCCGGGCAATCACTAATTTTTCTTGATATAAAGTAGATTACTATCCTATTTTTAGTCTAGTCTGACTGAGCCATTAGGAACGCATGGGTGCACAGTAAAATCTCTCCAACTAGCCATAATATTATGATGACCAACATTGCACTTGACAAATATGTTCACATGAATTTCATGAATCCAGTACAGTGATTCTGCAGTTACTAAAATAAGCAGTGAAATAACACAACTGGTGAAAATATTGTTTTGGGTGGTATGTAACAGTCTCAAGAGGCCAGACTGACCTGGATTAAAGAGGACAATTGCTCGCAAGCAACCGAGCTCCGTCTTATCCATCTTCATATCTTTCATTTTAGATACTAACTCTGTGAGTACTCTGCAGGAAATCAAGAAAGAAACAATGACGAGTCACAAAAATAGGACTGAATTAAATCAGTACAAGAATTTGAATAATTTCTCAGTAAAGAATTTGCATTTCTATGCAAATATGTACTTAGCTTAAATGACAACACACTGAAATGAATGCAGTTAAGACATTAGTAACATTTACAGTTGGGGGGGGTTGCCTCCAACCACAAAATATACAGAATTAAGAGGTTAATCATGAAGGAGTCAAAATGTCACATTATTTTATCTTTTTGTCTCATCTTTCAATCCTTCCTACCTGTCAAAGATGGAGCCAACTCCAGCACTGTGGGCGCTGCTTCTGTGGACGTGAAGACCTGTTGCCAGCAGGATACCGTCTTTTACCGTGACCGAGCGATGCGAGAATGACGCAATTAGAAGCTCGTTCCAGCCTGGACACAAAAAAGGAACAAGAAAAACGAGTGACATCTCGATCCACTCGTCTCTTTAAAGCCCGTCTTTAGTTTGTGTAAATTAAATACACAAAACATGTTCTGTGATTTCCCTGCTTGCTTAAAATTAATTATCCATTTTGTGACTTTTTCACTTTATCGTCCTGGCATGTGTTAAATCTCCCAGCAGAGGTCAGCACTGGCAGCAAACTGCACTGCTGGGACTTGCAAATGGTCCAGTTATTTTGGTTTCACTGCTCCATTAAACTAGATGTTACAAAAAAAAAAAAGACTTAAATAGACTGCTTGACATCGGCTCGGCAACTACGCTGAATGAAAATACTACACAAAAAGTGAGGGGGGGGGAAAGGGAGGATAAAGGACTGCTTACCCTTGCAGGAAACTGCTGTGTATGAGTGTGTGGTCTGATATTTGTGTGAGCATAAGCTTGCCGCATGCACTGGTTTGT